GCCAGCATCTGGAATGAGAGCTCTAAGGATATCCTAAGATCTTAAAGGAAGTGGTATTGGTGATTCAGTATAGAACATTCTACCCAAGTCAGAAAAGCTACGGGTTTGAGCCAGTGCTATTGAAAGTCTTATCTTTCCACTCTGCAGGTGCAGGAATGCTACAGCTAATTTTAGCCCAAGTTCTAAACCAGAACTTGTCATCCCATAGAATTTAAATTTCTTGAACATTTGGAAGAACTACTATTTCTTCACTTCCTGTGTTTATAGCTTGGGATCCAGTCAAAACACACTATAGTATACATTAAGATATAAGGCTGCAAATAACCAGAAGAGCATATAGTAATCTTATTTTAATCCAGCCCTATTTACCATTCAAAAATATTAGGAATCAATGTCATATACATGTAAGCCCAAATACTGACTATATTTCTAACTGGGTCTTGTAGAATCATTATAGGAATCTTTTGGCAACAAACCAAGTATTTGAAATCTTCTTTGTGGTCACCATCTGATCTTGCAAGGATTGGGTTTTGATTAGCCTTAATATCCTATTCAGTAACAATGTCAACACTAGTATTGGAGATTTACTATCTAAATCCTTGTTTACTATTTTATCAAACATGGCATCCCTCCTACTCCTGTCTCAAGGGCAATTGCTAATGCCATGTCAAAGGGAAGTTCTTTTGGCTGAAATCATATTGATTAATTTGTAGGAGTTTGACCCATGGATACACAACACCAGCACATTGTCTGGGCTCATCAAATTTCCTCCTTTGGTTAATGCTACTGTCCCTGAGCACATTCATTCAGACCATATGGTTCTTATTCAATCCTTGAATGGCTTATTCAGGCAAACATCCAATAGCTGTAATAGCGATGTCAGACCCCCCAGGACTCACGCAAAGATCAGTTTTTAATTTTTTGGCCATATTTCCTACTCCATCTGCTAAATGTGCATGGAACAGTTCCCATACTTACATGGAACATTTGTGGAGCTGAGCCCCTGGGCAAGGATCCCATATCTTTTGCAGCCAGAGTTTGACGAGATCATCGTGGATCTAGTTTTCTGGATATGTCTATGCTATCATTTGAACAACATTTCTCCCCCCTCCACTGTTTTTTTTTAAAAGATTTATTTAAAAGTCTATGAGCAACTTTGGTTTTATCCTGCTGGCTAGACAGGATGTAGATTTTATTTTGGATCCTTTTGATGAGAGTAGTTGTAAAATTTAGTGTTAAGATCAAGGTTGTAGATATTCTATCCGTGTTTCTGATATTTACACAAACAAAAACAAAAGAATGTTGATCCTCTCTGATGTCCCCTTCTGCCACATAAGAAAGTCTGCCAAAAAAGGTTCTGCCAACCATCATCTAGGGTTGATATACATCAATGAAAAGTAATGGTAATGTTTTAGTCATATATACTAGCACCTCACGGCAGAGCCTGGCAAGCTACCTGTGACGTATTCAATATGCCAAGAACAGTAACAAGTCTCACAATGGAGATGTTGCTGGTGCCCGCTCGAGCAGACTGAAGAACAACAGGAGGACGGTGCTACAGTGCTACAGTGCTACTCGCACCACCCCTCCAAGAAAACCCTAAATAAAGCTTGCTTACATATGATCTCATCCCACAGTCATAATGCCCAATGAAATATGTAAAAATAGAAATATATTTACTCTTTTTTAAAGAGATTTACCAGTTTTATAATTGCAATGCGACTGTATGTTCTTCATTCTACCTTATGTCCACAGTGCCTTCTTGTTGTGATTCCTGAGATGACAAACTGTTATAGTAAGATATGTAAAAATCCTCTTAGCACTAGTCAAGTACATTGTCAGCATTAATCTTAAGTCCAGTGACGCAATTTATTCCAGTGACAATGAAAATTGGCTTTCTTTTTCTCTGCAAAATTTTTCATCTGAAGATAAAGCAAGATCAGAGGCTTTAGAGAGGGAAGTTTTCAGTTTTGGAATCAGAAAGACCTGAGACTAGAATCCATGCTCTGCTACTATACTGCTGTGACATGTATTTTATAGTCTTATTTTCCTCATCTGTAAAATATAGTTAAGACAGTACCTAGCCCATGGAATTGTTGTCAATATTAAAAATAATAAAAATGTGTCCTGCACTTTAAGTATTTTAAATATATATCATTAACATTGTCATTATTGCTACTGGAGAATCAACTATTTTCAGGTGGCAAGAATAGAGATTGGTCACACAAAATTGATCAGACCAATTAAAATTTTCACCTTGGGTCTGGGTCTGTAGTTTCATGATAAGAGTACATGTACTACATGTGAGAGACTTTCAGGTCAGCTTCCAGTACATTACATACAATTCATTTTAATTTCATCACTACTCTTTGTATAGTTATTCAAATTCTAAGCTTTTTGCATAGCTAGTCAAATTCTGAGCTCTGCATTAATTTCAAATAAACATAGCCTTCATAGGAAAAAAACTGCATTTGAAAATGGTAAGCATGCTTCTCTCTTATGGAAAAGATAAGTTGCAATCAACAAAAATTCATAAGTAGACAATATGGTAAATGCAGTTAGTAAAAAGTAGGCAAAAAATAAGTTAAGGAGTGCTTAGTTGTATGTCTAGTTCTAATTGTTTTTCTTTTCTTGTAAAAATGTATGTTGATCTAGTTCTTTATTTTTTTATATTTCCAAAGTTAATTATAGAGATATTGTGAGGATTTATTCATTCATTAGATCATTGTTAGACTTGTTAGTGCCATCCTAAAGCTGTCTATCAAGCTTGCATTTCCAAGATAGAATGACTAAAGTTTGTTTGGTTTAATTTTAGTTAATGTTAGATGGTGAAACTCAACATTTTGACTTTATGAAGCTATACTGCTGTGAATATAAATGACATCTTGGTAAATAAAACTTTGATACACTAGGTTCTTTCAAGAGATTTCCTGCCTGGAATGTGACTTAGGTGGTAGTGCCACTGGCATGTGCATGGCCCCGGGTTTGCTCTCCTGCAGTGTGTGGTTCCCTTAGCACACCTGAGGTGCTCGTACACCCTTGGGCATTGGGCACTGGAGATCACACACTCCGTTGTGGCACCAGGGATCACAAATAACAGAATCGTTGGGACTGCCCTTGGGCACTTTGCCCAGGATTATGATCTCATCAACCTCATGCTAGTAGGCAGATGCTTGACAAAGAACCATCTGAGGTCCTCTAAATATCCCTTTTTTGTCTATAATTGGGGCTGAAGAAATAATATAAAGTGCCAACATGCTATCAACCCTGGTTCAATCCCTGGCATTGCATATGATCCCCTGAACCCCACTGAGAATGATTCTTGAGCACAGAGCCATTAATAAACACTGAACACTGTTGTACGCAGGCCCCAAAATAAAGCAAACAAAATACTGTAATAGTCTAAATAAAATTTCACTCTATTACAAATATATTTAGAGCTGTAAGACCAAATATCTTCAGAACTCTACTACTAAGCACAAATTATAAGAAATGAAATATATATTTACCACATAAACAATTAATAGAATTGGGCTACCTGTACTTACTTCTGATTTACTTATTAGTGTGATTTTATCATTTTTAGGATATGTCTCAAAAGGCACTCAGATGCTTAAAAGAATTAATTCTTTGTGCTTTGGGTTAAAAAATAAAGTAGAATAGGGGCTGGGGATGTGGTCTAATAGTAGAATGCATTCTTTGCATGTGCGAGGCCCTGGGTTTGTCCCCAGAACCACATACACACATACACACACACACACACACACACACACACACACACCCCACAAAATGAGTCTTATAATAGTATTATTCTAGGCAAATAAAATCTGTGGCCCAGGGACTAGATCACAAGAATAATAATCAATCAATGACAAATAAAGAAACAGATTCTCACTGGCCACCTCCCCTTACAGTTAAGTGTTTCTTCTAAGTACAGATTGATATAAATTGCTACTTGTCGTTGACAAGAATTGTTGGATCCAAAATAAACCTAGACTTTGTTTCAAGAATGCAGTTCCTAATATTTTCTATTTCTTTAGTGAAAAGAAAAGAAGAAGGAATTTTTGGTAGTATGTGAAGGTCTCTGTATTTTTACTGGCTACTTATAAAGTCTTAAAAAAGATCCTTAATCCTTTAAAAATGACCCTATCAATTCATACATTTAGCATAATTTGCCAACATTTCAAAACTCAGCATGGAAAAGCCATCAACATGGCACTAGGTCATGGGTCCTGAATGAAGCCGTCAGCAAGGATTAATAAACTGTGACAGCTGCCCAAAAGCTTTCATTCTTTCTATTTAAACATCAGATTGCAAGCTGAAATTCAGTGTAATCTTTGTTGAAACTAGCCCAACTAACATGGAAGAAGTCAGAACTGAGAACAGATGACAGTAGTAGTTATTATTGTAAATTCGGCTCACAGCAATAAATTCTAGAATCCATATATGTATAGCAATCCCTAAGGAATTTTAGATAGTACAAATTATTCCGATGTGTTTGGACCATTTTTAACAATGATATATTCTTGAAAACTAGACTGATGAAACTAAAATTATTTAGTTCTAAATTCTATACTCAATAAACTAATTATTTTTCTATTCTTATCTCTTGTTCTGATACTACAAATTAAAAGTGTTTAGTGAATCTGTAGCTATAAAATCTTCTTTTAGGTCACAATTTTTCTAGGAATTATCTGAAAGAAAAAAACTGAACTTATATGATCAAGTAATTTATATCATAGATTGTAAGATTATTGGAGCATTTGTACAGATACAACTCATACATGTACAAAGAAAAGTAAAAATTACACAGGAAATAATTTCCTAAATGAAATGCAAATACAAAAATCAAGATATTATAACTCATCAGGCTAGAGATTTATTGTTTTCTTAAGTATACTTTAAGTTAGCCTGCATGATTTATTAGTGGCTAAGTACCAACACCAGAAATGTATGTTTAAGCCTACATGTCAAATAGCTAATAAATCATTTTAACTTACCCCCTTTTCAATATTCCCAGTTTGACAGAGTGTTCCCTCAGCTGCAGGAATACTATTGGTGACACAACGGTTGCTTTTGCTGAGACACCAGAGCTCTCTACACACTTCCTAGGAAAGAAGACAAAAGCAAGTTGATCAGAAACAGAGACTAGAATCAGGCCCACCCTTTTCACAAAACATATCTGTAGACAATCAGCACTACTTTATTGTTCTGTTTTGGTTTTTTTTGGGGGGGGGTATACCTGATTGTAAGCAGGGCAAAATCCTTACTGTGTGCTCAAGGATCACTCCTAGAAGTACTCAGGGAACAATGTATGGTGCCAGAGATTAAAACAGGTCAGCCACGGCAAGGCAAGTGCCCTACCACCTGTTCTTTCTCTCTCTCTCTCTCTCTCTCTCTCTCTCTCTCTCTCTCTCTCTCTCTCTCTCTCTCTGCTGGCACTACTTAAAAAGAGATGAGACTGTGGTCTTTTGGATTTTTATTTTGATTTTTGTATTTTTGGGGGGGTTGCAGTTTTATGGTTGGGGGGCATTCCTGATGATGCTAAGGGGACCATATGGGATGCTGGGAATCAAACTGGGTTGGCAGCATGCAAGGCAAATGCCCAATATATTGTACTATCCTCCAGCCCCTGGGAACTCTTGTTGAAACATCAGATATAAGGACCTTGTAGGAAAATCTTCTAGAACGTTGGTTACTAAGTTTGTAGAAGCATTTAAATATTTTTCATTAGAATTCTTATTTTAGTGGATATATTGTATTTTAGCTATTGAGATTACAAAAAAATTTTAAATCAAAAATAAATATAATAATGCAGGGAGAAAGGATCAATAGGTTGAAAATAATACTCTCCAGAATGTACAATAGTGCAAACATACTAATTGTTTTAAAAATATTCCCAGAGAGATGGCTTCCTAGTTCAACTGAAATGTTCAAATACTTGCCATTTAAATGAGAATAGCAGAAAAGATCACGGGAATGAGCAAGGAGAAATTTCTGAAGTTCATAGATGCCTTAAGGGCAATCTAGTAATCTTTTTTGTTTGTTTTTGGGCCACACCCAGTGATGGTCAGGGTACTCCTGGCTCTGCATTCAGGAATCATTCCTGGCAATGCTCAGGGGGTCATGTGAGATGCTGAGGATCAAACCAGGGTCAACGATGTGAAAGCTGTCTTAGCTGCTGTTCTGTCTCTCTGGTCCCTAAAAATCTTTTGTGCTCAATATTAATGTTGTCCATATTAATGAAAGGGAAATTTGGTGGTACAAATTCTATTATTGTGCCCTTTTCATATTTCAAATTTCAGATATTTCAGATATCTTTTTTATTATGATTTATTATTTTACTTCAGTGTGGGAGAAATATCATATTAATATAAAATTGCATAATGCCCCTCTAGTTGCAAGAAAGAATTCTGGATGACATCTGCACTTATATGTTCATTGAAGCACTGTTCACAATAGCCAGAATCTGGAAAAAACCCAAGTGCCCAAGAACAGATGACTGGTTAAAGAAACTTTGGTACGTCTATGCAATGGAATACTATGCAGCTGTTAGAAAAGATGAAGTCATGAAACTTGCAAATAGGTGGATCAACATGGAAAGTATCGTGTTAAGTGAAATAAGTCAAAAAGAGAGGGACAAAGAAAAACTGCACTCATTTATGGAATATAAAGTAACAGAATGGGAGACAAGAACAGTAAAGATAAGTACCAGGAGGATTCTCCCACAGCATAGAAGCCGGCCTCACATAGTTAGGGGAAAAGGCAGCTCAGATAGAGAAGGGACCACCAAGTAAAGGGTACTAGGAGGGCCCGCTCAGGATGGGAGATGCAGGCTGAAAGCAGACTATAGACCAAACATGATGGCCACTTAATGCCTCTACTGCAAAACACAACACCCAAAAGAAGGAAGAGAACAAAAGAGAATGCTCTGCCACAGAGGAGGGGTAGGGTGGAGGAGACAGTGTGGGGGTGGTGGGAGGGATGTTGGGACCATTGGTGGTGGAAAATGGTCACTAGTGGAGGGATAGGTACTCAACCATTGTATGACTGAAACACAAACCTGAAAGTTTGTTAAGACTGTAACTGTACCTCATGGTGATTCACTAACAAAACATATTAAAAAATAAAATATAATTCTCAGAAAAAAATAAAAAATGCATAATAAAATATTTCATTTTCTTACACCTATACTAATCAATCAGGTGTGAAAAAAAATGTCGAGGGACAGAGTGATAGTATAGAACGTAGGGCATTTGCCCTGCGTGCAGCTAACTTGAGTTCAATTCCTTCTACTACGTACGTCCCCAGAGCCCTCCAAGATTGATTCTTGTGTAAGTCCCGGGCACCAAGTGTGCCCCCAAAACAAAATAAAATGAAACAAAAATAAGCTGTCCAAAAATAAGTAAATGGATTTTCACTGAATCACTGTATCACTGTCATCCTGTTGTTAGTCAATTTACTCGAGCAGGCACCAGTAACGTCTCTGTTCATTCCAGCCCTGAGATTTTAGCAGCCTCTTCTTACTCATCTTTCCCAGTGATTGGAGGTTCTTTGAGGGCCAAGGGAATGAGACCTGTTTTAGTTACTGGTTTTGGCATATCGAATATACCACAGGGAGCTTGCTAGTCTCTGCCTGTGTGGGCAGGATACTCTTGGTAGCTTGCCAGGATCATATATATATATATATATATATATATATATATATATATCTTTTATCAAATTTTATCAAACTAAAATGTTTCTGTGTATAATGAAAGACATCAACACAAATGCTGACAGAGTGTTGCTCATTTGGTAAACACAAACCTCACATGTATGGGGCTCTGAGTTCCAACCATAACACCCCAAAACAAACAAACATATAAACAAACAAATTGTTGCAAAAATTAAAAGGCAACATACTTACTAGGAGAAACTAAACAATTTCATCAAAAAGGATCTAAATATCACATGAGCGCAATATTGGCCATAATCCAGAGACTCACAAATACATCTCTGAAGAGAGCAACCCAATACAGAAATGTCCCCTCCCCCCACGCCAGGCTGACTTCATCAGGAGCCTTGGAGGAGACATATGCCTACCTTATAAGAACCCTGGCAGCTACCAATCTTCAGAATCCAATCACCACCATGCTCACAGACAACCTTCACAGGCTCATCCCGAGCGCCCCCTCCCCACTGCCCCAAGCATGAGAATGAATCCACTGAAAAATCCAGGCTTACACAGAGTCGGGCTGGGCCCCTTTCTCCCATCTCCCTGTGCTTCTGGGTCCCTGACAGTCACTCTGGGCACCACATAAGCACATTAATAGTCTTGATCCAGAGACTCACAAATAAATCTTAGAAGAGAAAAATCATGTTACAGAGATGCCTCTGGAACCCAAAATCACCATCCAGTTAAAAATCTAACTCCAGCTCTACCACTCTTACTAAAATTCAGATTTTAGTAAATCTGAATTTACTAAATTTCAGAATTCCTGGAGCGACATCTCATACTTTATACCACTGATATACCAAGAGTAGCACACCACATTTGCTGGGGTGTAAGGTAAAAGGGAAACAATCTTGATCAAAATATTTATTCATAACAAGCAATACAAAAAAATTATTCAACATCTGCCTTTGGGGCAGACTTGGGTTGTGGTGGGAAAATTTGAAATAATGGTGGTGGGAAGTTGCAATGGTAGTGGGATTGGCGTTGAAATATTGAATGAAATAAATTATTATTATCATTATTATAATTATGCTTTTTTTGGGTCACACCCAGTGATGTTCGGGGGTTACTCTTGGCTCTGCACTCAGAAATTAATCTTGGCAGTGCTTGGGGGACAATATGGCATGCTGGGGATTGAACCTGGGTTGACTACTTATGAGGCAAACGCACGCTCTATCCACTGTACTATCACTCCGGCCATGAATGTAATAAATTATTGTGAACAACTTTATAAAAATAAAATATTTTTTAAATATATAGAATTATTTTTTTAAAAAACTAAACAGATGCTTCTCCTAAGAAGACATACAGATAGAACATGAAATAATGGGTATCAAAACTTATTATCAGGGAACTATAAATCAAAATGACAATGAGTTATCACCTCAGGCCTATGAGAATGGTCTAGAGCTAAAAGACCAGAAATAAGTGTTGTCAAGGGTGTGAAGACCACTTGTACAGTATTGGTGGAACTATAAATTTGAGCACTCTCTGTGGAAATCTCTGTAGGGAGATTCCTTTAAAAACTTAAAATAGGTCCTGAGAGAGAGTCTAATGGGTAAGATGCTTATCTGGCATTTGGTCAATCCTTAGTTTGATCCCTAGCATGACATGTGCTCAGGGAGCATCACCAGGACCAATCCCTGGGCACAAGCACCAGGAGGAAGCCCTGGGCATATCTGGGTATGACCCCTACCCCCACCAAAACAAAAAAACAAAATATTAAACTAAATTGAAAATCTTGCCTTTTGCAATTATGCTAAGAGAAATAAGCCAGAAAGTTGAAAGAACTATTATAAATACGGAATACAAATAAAGGAAGTAAAACAACTCACAAAACAGAACAAAAATCACTATAAAAATTCTAGAAAAAATGTTAGGAGGGGATGAGGCTGTGAGAAAACAGAAATGAGTTAAAGGGGATCAATGTGATAATAGTGAATGGCTCAGATCCGTGGTGGTAGGTTTGGTATGGTATGTACACTCTTTAGGTATAAACCAACAACAATCCAATAAAATGTATATTAATAAAAAATAAAATAACTTATCCAACATATTTTTGTATAAATTTTAACTGAGAATTTCCCAAAAGTTTACTTCGAAAAAACACTCAATGTCACCTAGCATAATTACTGACAGTACAGACTTTTAAGGTAGAGTAATTTAGTATGACATGTATATCTCAAATAAAAATTACTAATCTGGAATAAAACAAGGTCTTATGTCACATAAACATAGTTCAGAATTAAGGCAGCAACACTTAGTTTATGAGTTCACATGGAATTGTCCCAGAGAGTAGCAAACTGAAGAGTTCTCTTTGGGACTCTTTTGGAGTGCCCACAACCAGTGAGAAAAACAATATAATTTCTATTAATCTACTTAAATACAAAC